GAAGAGAATAGCAGAAAAAGGTGCAAAGCAATTATAAAAATGGATTTAAAATTCAATAAAGAGCAGGTTAATAAATAGGCAATTAAGTCGATCCTTAAATAAACTGATTACTGCAAATTTGTTAATGTATATTGAGGAAGTATTGCTTTTATAGAGTCTGGAGCAAACTGGTTTAGGCTAGACTAGGGCAAAAGTACGATATAAGTGCAATAAATGAGGGCCACAAAGTATGTTTTGTTAGAACTCATAAATGCAGATAAAGAGCATAAAAATTTGATTATATCATGGATAAATCCTATATAAAAACCAAAAAACGCCTTGTGAATGACAACTTTACGGCTAAATTAAATGTCGATAGTAAAAAAATCAATAAAAATAAGAAAATAAAAGAAATAAATGAGTAAAAAAAAAGTATGATGTTTGAACCCCAAACACACTTTATAAAACCATTAGGTCAAAAATAACATAAATACAAAATGACTCCTAAGTGTTATAATGGCCTCACCATTACAGAAGACACTCCAAGTTCGTTCCGATATTAAAAAGGATTTGTCAAAAATTTGACCAATCCTCGAAAACATGAAAAATATGGATATATCAACACAAGCTAAGCCCGAGTAATCGAATAAAAACTTAAATATAAAAATCTCAAAGAAAGGACAAATTGCGTTAATTCAAGAGGACAATCCTAATCAAGTAGATCTAAAAAACTACATTATCACAGGTTTAGGTTTTAATTAAGGCTTTTGCCAAATAAGGCAATGTCTATTAACCAAAAAATATTTAGATATAGATATGAAGACCAAGATGTTGTGGCCTCTATTTTAGTTGCCGTCTCCTTTCGATGTATAGTATTAATTTGACCTTGTTTTGCAACTTCGTCACATTGGCAGGAAGACCTAGAAGAACGCACCTTATGCGGAGTTCATAGTATGCATGACTGTGGACTTGCTTCATTCCCAGAGGTTTCGTCGGCATCTTCAGTGAGTCTTGCCAATCTCAGCACGAAGTTACAACTCGTCAGGGACAAGTGAAGTCAATCCCTTGACCAACTTTCTGTCGAAACGGTTGTGCTATCACTCCTCGTTCTGTCCTGGCCCCTCTATCCATTTCCTACCCTCTTGTCTCCCTCTCGTCCTATCACAACTTTTGACATGTTTATTTCACTCCTCAAGAGGTGTGCCCTTTTAGAGAATTTACCATGGCGTCATTACACCTGCTGTTTGCCTTGCTCCCCTCCCTTTCGAGTTGCTGATCCGACTCGAGCCTCCTGTCCGGAAGTGGCAGGAAAACGAGAGAAGATCAAATGCAAGTTCCAATTCTCTTACATGACAATAAATATTATACAAGTTGATCATCTTAGAAGTAACATGCTAATAAGAAATATTTTTGGGGTAAGTACTTCTGAAGACTTTTAATAAGCTTGAATAACAAATTAAATTACTCTAGACCGCTTAAGTTGATTCATAAATTTATGATTGAATTGTATGACAAATAAATGAATAGGCCTCATTCTGCCAAAGCAAGCTTCTCATAATATCAACAAAAAAAATAAAATGAGTACTCACCGAATTGAGGTGTAATCCGAATCATTTACCCAGGGGACAACAAAATTAATTATACCACCATGCCCTAGAAATATGAAAAAAGATGGAAGATAAGTGTTGTGGCCATAAGCAATCTAAAACCTCATGATAAATAGTTTATAGAGCAAAAAGAATGAAATAGATAAGTAAGAGGAGGACCCTCAATCGAGTATATATGAGGGAATATTCGAGAATGTTTTATGGAAATTCTGATGCAAATGCTTCATTTTAATGCTTGATCATTTGTGAATAACTTGTGTTATGGATGAAAGTGCATATTATCCGTCCGTTATTTGGGCAAAAATGAGAAAATAATATAAATTAACAAATCCATTTTATTAGTTAATAATGTTAATTGACGTATTTATGCTTGAGATACATTTAAGCACAAAGTAATTATTATGAAAATAAAGCATATAAATATAGGGAACCTTAAAATCAGCAAACAACAAAAGTATTAATAATCTTATATGAAATACTAATTAACCAGTAGCGTCGTGACAATTATGAGCTCGCAAGACCACAGTGACAGCGGGCAGAACAGGAGAGAAATTAATCAGGTCGACCGGGAGGTAGATACGATGAAAAACCGATTGGTTGTCGCGATGAAGAAGATTCGAAAGGCTAGGCCTCTGCCAGGGAGCAGACCAGTGTGCGTCGGATGAAGATAACAGATGGCTTTCAAGACTTGGCGGATCAGTAGTCATTTTTGAAGGAATGTCTGATATTGTCTGTGCAAGTGAGTCTATTCTAGAAGGGGAAACAGCATCTCGGACTAGAGAGAAGGAAGATGCACGTTCTGAGCTGCCTGATGAAGTTGCAAGCAGCCAGTAAGGAGACAGAGAAGGCTCGAATAAGACACGCCTCAAAGGGTCTGAAAAGGCGTCAAGTAAAACGAGGGCCTAAAAGGAGGAAGATTCCAATAAAGAATAAAAATAGTATAGGAAATTAAGGGTAATGTAAGTAGGTAAGAGATGAGAAAGAAAGAACATGAAAGTGTGGGAGTGAGGGTGAGAGAAAACAGGAAGAAAAAAAATGAGGAACGGAACGGTTGAAACGAAATTTCTGGTTTTCTCTAGTGTTAAATAACTTTTAGTAAAACACAACGATAAAAAGGATTTTAGATGCCCTTAAATTAACTTTTAAGAGGAAACATACCTTAGGAGAAAGAAGATGTAAAAATATCTGGGGTAAAGTAACAGCAAAGAAGATTAATGATAAACATAACTAAGGATAAAAAAGGAAAGAAAACTATAACCAAATTCGTAGTGACTTACTGAGAAAGTATGGGTCTGATAATTGATGTTATATCAAAAACAGGAAAAGCAATTCGGAATTTCGCTTTGGAGAAGGGCAAAAATAATGTGTTAGTTTCGCTGTAAATGTATTTTACAAATATAAACATTTTACACATAATTAATATGACACCTTTAAAATATCCGTTGATAGTATTATCGGGTATTACTCTGTAGGTTGACCTCAATAACTGACTATTTATGATATGCCGTCTCAAATGAGCCAACTTACGTGGGATGACCTCATTTCTACACACCTTCTCGTATTCTCATACTAAAGAACTGGACAGAAGAGAAAAAGTATTTTCTCTCTGACCTGGGGGGAAGAAAAGTAAAACGTTCCTCAGTTATTTTTATACGGAGATAACCGACTGACGGATTCACATTATCCTGCCCTTTATATTCAAATCCACGCAGATGATGAATTCGTTTTATTAAGATCAATTTCTTTTCATATCCATTCTGAGTCGTTAGTTCCAGTGGCTTTTTCACAACTCTCACGCAGAAACTCCGTACGCCGTCATAAATCAAATCTGCCCTCTTCCGTATTTAAACAAATGTTTCATAAATCATGGATGCAGAAAAATCAGTCTAAGGGTGGTTTCATTGAAAACAAAATGCAGATACACATACGCCGCTTGTAGCTTTAGCGGATGAAAAAACAAAATTAAGCGGAGACAAAACATGTATGGAATAATTACAAGAAGAGTTGGAGAGCAAGTGATAATTTCACATTTAAAAATAAAGACAATAAAGTAGGCAAAATGAAGCTAGCTTAGCTTAGTTACCTTAGAAAATGTTGGCGATGGATCCAGACGAACAACTAAATAATCGCCGGGCTGTGGGCGACCACTCCAAGGATCATTCATGTCAATGTATTGAGAGTCAGGAGCTATGGCAGTGAGCATAGCAACTCCACGAGGTCTGAGACTACCTTCCATAGGGCCTGGCAGCCAGGTCAGATATCCCAAATTTTGGTCTAGTGAGATCAGGTTCTGGCTGTATACAAAGTAAGTAAATTTACAAATCTGCTGAAGTAGACTTATTTGACAAATATGATATCAAAAGCATAGGTAAATTAGTAAGAAAAATGTATTCCTTTTAGAAGAAAGTAGATAATAAAAGTAAAAATTCCAAACCGTTTAAAATGTACCTAAAATAAAATTAGGATACATGTTAGAGCCTAATTAATGTTGTCAAGTAAATAAACCCTAATCAAACATTAAACAACCAATTAATTAGTCAAGCGCTCTTGAATTCAAGAGTGGATATGCAATGAATCCACTTAAGTCTATAAGATGAGCGATAGAGGGTTCAAGATGAAAGGTAAAAATATATAGATACATGTTGGAGTACATTTCATTTCTAGGGGGACCTTCATTTCGTATGAAAGTGCATGAAGAAGAGATTCGTTGGTCGATCTCACCAGATGAGG